TGGAAAGCTAAGGAATTTATATACAGTATGTAGTACACGGGGGCATTTGGCAGGGTGCATCGGGACCAAATGACTCTGCCTGATTCACTTCAGTGGCTCCCAGTCCAAGGGAGCAAAACACGGGGTACAAAGGTGGTCGCTTTGTACTTTGAACGTGTCGGTACGTGTGGGATTCACCCAGCTGATGGTAACGTTGAAGGAGACGATAGCCGTGGATGGCCTTGGCGTGTTTTCTTCTGTCCCCTGTAGGGAGCAGATGACGTATTGAGATTGCTTTCTGTGATTACGCTGGCAAATCCCACCTTTCCATAGAAAGGTGGAATAAGAAACGTGATACAGATATCACTTATTTAATAGACCGAGTCTTGATAATAATTCTAAAGAAATAGTCCCCAAAATGTTTCAGAAAACTTCTTTTTTCCCCCTTTTCCTTCAGTATGCTGCTTGGAGATGACAACCAAACGGAAAATTATCGGCCGCTTGGTGCCCTGCCGGTGTTTTCGCGGCGAGGAGGAAATCGTCTCAGTGCTGGACTACTCTCACTGTGGCCTACAGCAGGTGCCAAAGGAGGTTTTTAACTTTGAACGGACATTAGAGGAGCTTTACCTAGACGCCAATCAAATTGAAGAGCTACCTAAGGTAATCGGTGTTCCGCCTGCGATGCGGCCGTCGGAGTTGTGTTTGTAACGTGCGCTCGGCGTGTGCTTCAGCTCTGGAACGGGGCTTGCTCCTGGCCCGGAGGTCTGCTCGCTGTGGGAAGAGCCATGGCGCAGCCAGCGAAGTCTTCGCTTGGGATGTTAAGAGTTGTGCAAAAGAAGCGCTTCTTGCCCAACGAGTAATTAATAGAGCATTCGGTACCTCGACCAGGAGTATGCTAATACTATGGGGTCTGGGTAGGGATCTGACGCGTGGGTCCTCCGTAGCACAGCTCTGAAAAGTGAGCTCTGTTTCAGGCTGAGCCGGTTCTCCCTGTGGGAGAAACGCCAGCACCGTCTGACCAGCGTTTTTGTAGCTGCTAATGAGGTCCTGCAGCGAGATCGTTTAGTTATCCTTCCTGCGTAAAACTTACAGAATCCTTAAATCTCTTCTTCTGTTGATTAATGTTTACTATAAGGAATTAAAAGTTACTCTAACTTAAGTGTCTTGGAAACAAAAGAGGGCAAGGTAGTGGAAAAAGCAATTAATAGTAGGTGCTAGCTACATAATGAAGCATGAAGTAATGTAATCCGTTCCTTAATTGAATTTTTCTCAGCAATAATGAAAGATGCTTACAAGTCCTTAATTAAACATTGTTCCACTATAATCCATTCTTCATCATCTCTCAACATATTTCTTACTTAGGCTGCATACAGACTACGTAAATTCTATTTACAAATGTAGAAAACGCACTTTTTCCATTACGTGGAGTTCCTTTAGTCGGATAGGATGGTTCAATGCTTAAATTGCTCACTCCATCAGGAAATTCTTTACAGATGGGCAGGGTGGCTACAATCAGAAAAATTATATGGAGAACTGCCTTACTTCTCCTGCTCCTAGAAAGGACAGCAGGGAGCCAGGTATTTTTTTCTGTCCCCAGAATTATGAAATGGATCATGGTAGAGGTCATTTTACTGCTAGAGAATCCCTTTGGGACTATTCCTCTTTTAATAATAATAATAATATGTTGTTAATGTTGTGTATTTGAGTTATGGTACTGAAGAATCCTAGTGAAGGGCATATGAAGTGTCCAATTTAGCTGGGGGTTTTTGGTATATTTGTTTTGGGTCTCTTGAAAGTACATGTCACCATGGTATTAGCCTAAATTGCAGTGCATGATGGAAGACAGACATATCAGGGCATAGGCCAAGAGCAATATACCATAATCCTGTGTGGAAAAAATGAGGGCCAAAGGTCAGAGGTCCAAAATTATGAAATTGGGGTGAAGGTGATAGTTGTTAGTGCCAGTCACAATTGAGAAGTGCACGCTGATGCACGCTAGTGAAACCTTTGCGTTGGTGTCACCTATTTTGTATTTGTTATTTGACCAACAGAACAGCAAGTAAATACATACCTTGGAGAGGTGTAAATGTATAGGGCTCTGGTTTTGCACCTTTTTTCTCTCTTTTTTAATATAAATAATATTTTGATGTATTGAAGAAATCCTTTCAGTTGGTCTGAAGTTTGAGTATCTTGGCCTTGTGTAAGAGAAGTTTAATGGTGGTGTTGATTTGCTTTCTTTATGCCATTCATAACTTTTTGTCTTAAACCTATATTAATCATTACTGTAAATCAAACAGTCCAAATAATTTCTTTATCAAATTTTCTGCTTAAATATTTTTTGCTCTGAACTTTTTTCACTATTGAATTGATATTCTAGGAGAGAAGATGGCATTTTTTCTTAAAATGGCACTATGTGACTTAACTTTTGTATTACACATTCTGTTCTGCCATAGGCAGAACTTTCCTCTCCCTGTAAATGTGAATTCAAATAACTTCTTCCAGGGGAAATTAGTTTTGTCCATTTTTGCTTATTTAACAAATGGCATGTGCCTCTGAAATTACAGTATTATTTTTAAACTTTCTATCATCAGAACACTTGATCATGTTTAAAAATCTGGTGAAAAAAAGCAGGTAAAAACACTCTTAAGTCCTCATATACCTTTTTTTTTTCCTTCTGTCTCCATTAAAAATGGATTTCTAGTTCCTAATTTCTGATATTTTGCTTTTCTTTTAGGGATTTACAGGGTTCTTACATAGTTCTCATTGTCTTTTTTCCCTAAATCTAGCCAAATCTTTTATTGTATTTACCTTTGACTTCATTATCATGAGTGGCTGCTGCAAGTATGTCCCTGTTTGTACGAGCCAGATGAATCAAAGCCTAATTAAAAAAAGAATTTTGATTTTGATGAAGGTGGAGTCACTGGCAATCAGTATCCAGGAAAACATGAAGGAGATGAAAATTCTCCCCAGAAGCTTTCCCTTGTAAAGTAAAATCTGGACTATTTTGTAAGGGAAAACATTAGCTTACTGCCTTAAGAAAAAATTGTCTGTCTCCATCAGCGAATTCTAGAAATAGCCAGCACTGTTTCAGCATCTCACCTGTTGCTGAAATAGAGACCAGCCATGCTAAATTTGCTACTGAAGTTAGAAGCTACCTCTCACTAAGAACGAACAGTACAGGCAATATATGAATGGTGTTGAGGTAATCACCAGGGTGTAGCTCACAGAGACGGGTGACATTATAAATTACCTGTATTTTTCTTCTGCACTGCATTTGCTATGTAAGTTATTGTTTCCATTAAAGGCACTGAATCCTTTTTCTAAATCTGCCCCTAAGAAATCACGTTTCTGTCCTGCAAAGCTACAAAGGGTCATTTCTTTGTAATGCTGACGCCAAATCCCCCCGATACGTTCACCAATCTGTTTCACAGCTGTGGGAAGTAAAGAGCACAAATCTCATATTGTTCTCCAGTGGCCCTGGCAGCCAACTGCCTCGATTGCCATGTAGTCAGGAACGCGGGATATGCAGAGAGCAGCCCCTTGTTGGAACTGAGATCGCGGTGCTATTAGTACCCCTGGGTTCCCAGCCAGGAAGGGACAGAAGTGGAGTATGGACAAACGGTACGATGAGTAAGATGGCAAGGCCACAAAGCACTAGAAATTGAGAAAGACACTTCTTGAAAATCTAGTAGGTAAAAAAGAGTGGGCAATTTTGGGCCTACATACCTGTGTTCACACTCTGGTGTTATTTCTGATACAGCAGGACATCTTAAAATGACTCCAGAGGGAATATTTTTTATTAAGCTTCTTCATTCACCAGTTTGAAAGCCTTGTATCTGTTCAGATATTGTCAGAAGTTGAAGTTCCAAGCCTTCCTTGGTTTTTAAAATAAGATTTCTCCAGGGGAATGGCTGGGGAACATGTACTGGGAATTTTATTTTCCAGGTACAGTAGTATGGTGTGGTTTGTATACATACCCAGGGCCTACAAGGAAGCTGGGGGGGACTTTTTACAAGGGCCTGTAGTGACAGGACAAGGGGTAACAGGTTTAAATTGAAAGTGGGGAGGTTTAGATTGGACAGCAGGAAGGAATTCTTCCCGGAGGGGGTGGGGAGGCACTGGGACAGGTTGCCCAGAGAAGCTGTGGATGCCCCATCCCTGGGAGTGTCCAAGGCCAGGCTGGATGAGGCTGGGAGCAACCTGGTCTAGTGGAAGGTGTCCCTGCCCATGGCAGGGGGGTTGGAACTGGATGATCTTTAAGGTCCCTTCCAACCCAAACCCTTCTGTGATTCAAATCCTGCAGGTTCCCTATGGCCTACAGCTGTTCTCGTTGAGAAATGGGGCTGGAAATTTCCAGAGCAGAGCCTCGAGCCTATTAATTACATTCCCTTCCAGTCTTGCCCCAAATGATGTGCTTCCTTAAAAAAGAGAAAAGTAGGTGGTCTCCGATGCATTGCAGAGGGATTCCTCCTTCTCTGGGGAGATATTTCCCGTTATTAGCATTGTCTGCAACAGAACGTTGTCATCCGGGTTGGCTCCTGGGGCACAGTAGCACCCACCCTTGGTCATAGCCGGGGCGCATGGGGAGGGGGCTGCTGCGCCCGCTCGAAGTACCAAGTGCACGTTGCACGAGAGAAAATCAGAAACACTGTCTGTACGAAGGTGTTCGGTGAAGTGTCTTTTGTTGAAAGGCCCTTTCCTACTCGGTGTGGTGCTTCTCCTTCTGAGCAGCTTTTGCTCACATGATGCCTTCTCCATTTTCTGGGAGGAGATGATGCTGAAGGAAAAGCAGGGTTTTTCTAAAGGATTATGATAGAAAGTTACAGCAGAAAAATTCAGTTTCAAAATTATCTAAAATTTACTTAAAGTGAAGTACGAGGTTGGCATTTGCAGACCATTTGTGTGTTGATTTTCTCCTCTCTGGGTGCTTGGCTGAATTTTTCACCTAGGCAATCAAGTGCATAGCATTCCCAAATAGCCTGCAGATGAGTTTATAGACGTCACTCTGATACTGAGGTCTGAAAGAAAGACTAAATCTGGTGTAAACAACACTAAGATTTGCAGGACCCTTGTGAGATGCCTGCAAAGAGAAGTTGTTCTCTGGATCCCACTGAACTTTCTGGTGCCGCTTGGTGAATTCACATTTGCAGAAAGTCCCGTGGGGTTTAGTAACTTCTAACTCTTGCAGAGAGCAATGTTTTTAGAGCCTGCACCCCAAAGTGGGTGCTGCTAAGCGGGTCTTTCCTGCAGTCCAAGGTGATGGGAAGCACAGGAGTGGCTGGTACTGGGGGTTCCAGTGCAACGTACCTAAACGTGAAACTGGTTTTCGTCACTGGTTGGTTTATTAACTTTTACGTGTGTAAAGTGTTGAGATGATGACATTTCTTGAGGAAAGCATCTGTGTTAAATAGGTGCTTCCAACATGATTTATTGGTTACTTCAGATTGAAAAGAGGACTTGTTTTTGCAGTGGAAATTCTGACATTTATAAAATTTGAATTGAAAATGAGAATTGAGTCCTCAATTGCATTTTTTTCCTTGAAGATAGCAAGGAAGATAGCAAGAAGATTTCTTCTGCATGCAGTCAAAACGTTTTTAAGTCTATCATGAAATTAAATTATAAAATCAAATCTTTTGATTTACCATAAGGCACCAAAAAATTGCAGCTGATGTGACACACGTGAAATACCATGTACCTACAAAATGGTGACCGCAATGAGTGTGCAGTTTTGGACAGAAAGCTCTTTTTGAACATCCCTGCTGCCAATCAACTCTTTTGGTTATCCTTGTCAACGATGTATAAGCTGTGTTTATGATTGTGAGCAGCCTGTAAGAACATCTTGCCAAATAATGGCTTTTCAAAATATTTTCCAATTATTGAATTCTTATGGAGCAAATGTTTTGTGGTATTTGTTGCTTTTGTGTATGAATAATGATCCCAGACTGATCTTTTTCCTGAAACACTGTAAAGTATCTTTTTATGTTGCAGCAACTGTTCAACTGTCAAGCTTTACGCAAACTGAGTATACCAGACAATGACCTTTCGAGTCTGCCAACCACTATTGCTAGCTTAGTTAATCTCAAAGAACTTGATATCAGTAAAAATGGTAAGAGATCAAAAGTATAAATATTTTACAGAATTGTGATGAATATGAACAATAATGATGCTTTAATTCCTAATGATTAACAAACTTGTTTTGTAGAAAACATGTTCTTTTTCTAGATTATTGATGGTTATGTACTATTTTCCTGTCTGGCACTTTTGAGAAGGCTGAGTAGAATCTACCTCATTTACTTTTCTCTTAAAAAAATAGAGGTTGCTTTACCATAGCATCCCGTGGTGATTTGTGGCCAATAAACATTAGAAATAGGGGCGTGAGACCATTTTTCAGCTCACTTACGAACCATTCCACTTTCCATAGTGGCTTCATACTCCCTGGGCTCTTGTGTAACGTGTTTAAGCATAGAAGCCCACAGGTAAACAACCACCAGGATTTAGAAGACCAGCGACTAATTTGCTGATGTGCAAGTCCAGATTACACATTTACACATTTATGTGCCTAAAAAACCCTTTGCATGTCTGAACTTAAGTGTCTTTGTTTTGAAAATGAGGTTCAGGCCCTCTTGCAAATTTGGAAAGGTTTCAGCGTAGGCCTCGAGGCTGTCGGGATCCTATGTGTCTTCTCCCGACAAAAGGGGGAGGCAAAGGAGGAAAAGATAAGCAGTTTGGAAAGAAATGAAAGGCACAAATATCAGTACAAATGATGTCACTGTTTAACTCTAGATTATATAAATCAATAAATCAAGCCTTAGCATAATGATTTTAGTAGAAGGCATATTATCTGTTCTGGTGTAATTTTTGACTGCTTAAGTGTCATCTTCTAGACACTGTAATACTAAAATATATGTATTCTACCTGCTATAGCTTAAGTCTGATATGAAAATGCCAAATGGACACGTTTATGAACAAAAAAAGTCAGGTTTTTATGTGTGTATAATAATTCTTTAATTATTTTTTTAGGAATTCAAGATTTTCCAGAAAATATGTCATCTTTTAGGCACTGTAATACTAAATATATGTATTCTACCTGTTGTAGCTTAAGTCTGATCTGAAAATGCCAAATGGACACATTTATGAACAAAAAAAGTCAGTTTTTTATGTGTGTATAATAATTCTTTAATTATTTTTTTAGGAATTCAAGATTTTCCAGAAAATATTAAATGTTGTAAGTGTTTAACAATTATTGAAGCCAGTGTCAATCCAGTCTCTAAGTGAGTATCAGTAGCTTGCGTTCATATACTGCGAGTGCAGAGAGTTTGCACACAGTGCACTAGAGGCGTTGGGTTGAGTCTCAGTGTGCAGAGTTAATCTCAGTTTCTAATTGTGTGAAATCCAGGGTTGGTGTATCTGTGTCCTGTGTGTCTCTCCATGTAGTACAGGAAGTGTTGGCCAAGCGGTCCCTAGGGTGCAGCCTTTTAAACACAGCGGGCTGGTGCTCTCTGTCTTTGGGAAGTCAGTCAGGCTGCATCCTCGCATTCCATAATCTCTTGGTTGGGGCTTTGGCATCCCTTATTCTCTCAAAAAACTTGCAATGATAGTAATTAAAAAAATCTGTGTTGTAATCCAATGATTCATAAAATGGAGTGAAGGAGATGAAAGGATAAAATTTTATTATTTCAGTTTAAAAGAAAAAAAAAAAGGAGATAGAAGAAAGAGAAAACACCTTTGGCTTAAAACCCTCGTGTAGGAAGGGAGAAGAGGCTGATGTAACTTGAATGTGCCAGGCATTTGAATTTGATGTAGTTATAGCAACGTGGAAAAGATGAGAACGTGCAAAAATGTTGTCTGTAACAAGTAAGTTCTTGAGAATTTGGGTAGAAAAAGAAGGTGAGAGAGAAAGTGATCTTTCTCTTTCTAAATATACATTGTTATTATTTCCATAGCAACTTCGGTGTGAGCATTAAGCTTTTAAATGTTTTTTTTTTTAGGCTGCCAGATGGCTTCACACAGCTTCTAAATTTGACCCAGCTCTATCTAAATGATGCCTTTTTGGAGTTTCTTCCAGCTAACTTTGGAAGGTAAGGATTAGTCATCGAAGCACATTGCTCTTTCATGTGAACCCAGTTTGGACTTAAGGGACCCTTTTAAGCTGTATTCTTTTTAAAAACAAAACAAAACAAAGCAACAAACCTAAAGAGATTTAGGCTTTCCAGCCCTTTTTTGATGAATGATTGTTGTTGGAGAGAATGTTATGTCAGCAAGAATTTTATGATGAACTGGTGCGGGGTGGTGGTGGAGGGACCAGCCCTTTTTTGATGAATGATTGTTGTTGGAGAGAATGTTATGTCAGCAAGAATTTTATGATGAACTGGTGCGGGGTGGCGGCGTAGGGAAAAGGCGAGAAGGAACTGAAATTGAAGAAGAGACCTGTCCTTGATCAAATGTGTGATTAAATGGTGGCAAGGGCAGAAAATAGCAATGTGCTGTATGCCTACTGAAAAATGAGCAGAAAGAAAAAGTGTTGTGAGCCAGAAGGGAAGAAAGAAATGACTGAGTGTGGTGGGGTGACCGAAGGAAAAATGTGAAAGCAAGAACAAGAGAGAAGAATCAAAAGACAGCAGAGGAGGAAGGATGTAGAGTGAGAGTAAAAATAAATGCAGCAGAAACTGAGCCAAAAAGGACAAATCAGAGGCTGACGCTACTTCCCAGGTCCATTTAAGAGGGCAGTAGAAGCCAGCAGGTCCTTAACTGCACGGGTCTGGCAGAAACGTGGGGTTTATTCCAGCTCCGTTACGCTGGTGAGGGAATGGTCAGCCTTTCTGCCCTCGGGTTGTCCACTGGGGCAAACAGCCCAGAAGGCAACGGATCAGCAGAGAAAATATATCGTGTTGTTACAGTATTCACCTAGTATTAGTTTTTTCCTAGTCCATCCAGCTACCCATATGTGTGTTTTAGTGTTCAACTGGGAACATCAACCCGGCACTCTAAAATCACTGCTGAGCTGACATCGTTTGTGTTGGAAGTGGCATGGGCGTGCTCAGGCGCTGAGCAACGGAACGGGCTGCTTTGTCAGCATTTACTTGATGGGCCTGTCACTGACCCGCAGTTGAGTCCGGGCTTTGCGCTGGAATACGCTTCAGAAAATCCTGGTTGAAGAAAGAGGAAGAAGAATTTGCATTTGATGAGGGTTTTGGAATATCAGAGTAAATCCTAAGACAGCCTGCTTCTGCAGTTTGGAATCAGTCATTATGTGCAGATGTCAGGGAAAAATAAATTGCAGGGTATTTCCTATATTTATCAGATGTGTAGTGTTTATAGTCATTATGCCCTTCTAGAGCCTTGCTGGTACTTTGCTAATAATGTCTGTCACTTAAGGACCTGTCTAATATTCTATATATTTTAGCAGAAAGCACTCATTTTTTTTCTTTCACACATGCATATTTTGTCTAAACAAAATTACACTCCTTCCAGTTGTGGTTGTTATTCCTTTATTACTATTATTCTGCTCCTATATTACCTTTTTGGTATCTTCCATTTACAAATCCTTGTCGTATTTCCCAAGCTTCCCACATTAGCTTACAGACATTGCTCTTTTTTTTTTTTTCCTCCAACTAGCCACACGCAGCTCTTTAACTGTATCTTCCTTAATTCTCTTCTCCACATCTTAGTGCTTTTTTATATCTTCAGCTGCAGCGCTACGCACTCTGCTGTGGTCTCATTTGTCCATGTGAATAAAGTCCGGGACATCATGTAAATGCCTCTCCACTTTTCTCATTTGAAGTTGTTCTTTTTAGTCCGGTGAGGCACAGCGATAGGGCCAGAAAAGTGCTTTTTTCAGTAGGAAAAAGTTAAAATGGTGGTTCTCTGGAAGA